TTCCTGAAGGGAGAAACACACAAGCAAGGGCCTGGGCTGGGTCTGAGCAGGGACAGGGAGACCTCCACACCCAGGGGCTGAAGAGGCTGGCCCAGGACCAGGGTGTGGCCTGCGGGTGCCCTTGAGGATCCTGGGAGAGGAAGCAGGCAGAGGGGGCTGGGCCTGCCTGGGCTGGCGCCTCACAGACGCTCCCATCTCACATCAGCCGGCTGCTGGGACTTCGTGAGACAGGAGGGAGCTGCCAGGCTGGGCCCTGGCCTTGGGAGTTTGTTGCTGGGTGGCGGGGCTGGCCGTCAGTGACAAAGTATCCCCTTTCCAGGCTCTATGTGCTGAAGCTGTCAGATGACATCGGAAACTTCGGGGAGGTGCGACTGCCCCTCCTTGGTTGCCTGGGTGTCTCCTGGGTGGTCGTCTTCCTCTGCCTCATCCGAGGGGTCAAGTCTTCAGGGAAAGTAAGTACCCCTCCCCCAGCAGGGTCTGTGCCCACCCAGAGATATCCTGCCTCCCCTACCTGGGTTTTGTGTGTGGAGGGGTGGGTGGGGGAGTGATGAAAGGATATGGGAGGGGAAGAGGGCCCAGAGGACCAGTGGTGGTTGAGGGGGCGGAAGAGCCCAGAGGAGTCCAGCGGGGCCCCTCTCGCACCCAGGTGGTGTACTTTACGGCCACATTTCCCTATGTGGTGCTGACCATCCTGTTCATCCGTGGCGTGACCCTGGAAGGAGCCTTCACGGGCATCATGTACTACCTGACCCCGCAGTGGGACAAGATCCTGGAGGCCAAGGTGGGCTGTGGACGGAAGGGGACCTAGAGGGCTGGGGAGAGGCAGGGAGGTGCCAGCCTCTGACTGCAGCTCCTCACCGGCCCCTCCCCCCGCAGGTCTGGGGGGACGCCGCCTCCCAGATCTTTTACTCGCTGGGCTGCGCGTGGGGCGGCCTCATCACCATGGCTTCCTACAGCAAGTTCCACAACAACTGTTACCGGTGAGACTCTCCCTTCCAGCCCCGGGGCTGCCCCCAGTTCCTACCCTCTCTGCAGCCTGACCCCGGCTCCCCCAGACCCACCAGGTCCAGTGCAGCCTCCTGGCCCACCAGGGCCCTCCCTTCCACTCACGGCCTTGAGAGCCTGGCAACGCGGGGTCCGGGTCCAGCCATTGCAGAACGGAGAGAGCTTTGGCAGAAGAGAGGAGACGTGAAGACGGTGATGCCCCAGGGCTCTGTGAGGACTCAGGAGCCTCAGGCCCACTTAAAGAGGCCCGGAGCAGACCAGAAAAGAGATTGGGGGCACCTTTGTTCCGAGAACTCGCTCTGTCTCCAAGTCTCTTGGCCCAAAGTGGGCAGGGGCAACTAAGCTGCGTGTCCTGACTCTACCTGTTTTCCTCCCCATCAGGGACAGTGTCATCATCAGCATCACTAACTGTGCCACCAGCGTCTACGCCGGCTTTGTCATCTTCTCCATCCTGGGCTTCATGGCCAATCACCTGGGCGTGGACGTGTCCCGCGTGGCAGACCACGGCCCTGGCCTGGCCTTCGTGGCATACCCGGAGGCCCTCACCCTGCTGCCCGTCTCCCCGCTCTGGTCCCTGCTCTTCTTCTTCATGCTTATCTTGCTGGGGCTGGGCACGCAGGTACGAGGTGCAGGACACGGGCCTGTGGCTTGGGGAGGGAGGAGGCAGGGGCGGAGGTCGGGCCCCTGCTCTGATGGCTGTATCCTGCAGTTCTGCCTCCTAGAGACGCTGGTCACGGCCATTGTGGATGAGGTAGGGAATGAGTGGATCCTGCAGAAAAAGACTTATGTGACCTTGGGCGTGGCTGTGGCTGGCTTCCTGCTGGGCATCCCCCTCACCAGCCAGGTAAGAACCGAGGGAAAGGCTAGGCCGCAGTTGCCAGGGTATGGGGCTTAACAAGGGGGGAGCATAGCCTCGGGCACCCTGGACTCAGCTGCCCACTGGCCCACAGGCAGGCATCTACTGGCTGCTGCTGATGGATAACTACGCGGCCAGCTTCTCTTTGGTCGTCATCTCCTGCATCATGTGTGTGTCCATCATTTACATTTACGGTAAGTGCCCAAGCTCACGTGGCCTCCCGTGTCCCGGCCCTTGGCCTGCCCACGCTGTCCTGCGGGCCTGCTGACCTCCCTCTCTCCAGGGCACCACAACTATTTCCAGGACATCCAGATGATGCTGGGATTCCCACCGCCCCTCTTCTTCCAGATCTGCTGGCGCTTCGTCTCCCCAGCTATCATCTTTGTAAGTTCCTCAGTGGTCCCTCCCCTGCTGCCCTGTGGCAAGCGTCCTTCTCTTGGGAACCAGCAAAGGGAGAGCAAGAGCCCATCCATCTGGCCAGAGCTCCCCACGGAGGCTCCACACCCACAAGTCTGACCACTGGGGGTCCGAGCAAGGTTGCGTAGAGTCAGACAGGTGTGTGGAGACTCAGAACCACCCAGGCCCTGGCCTTGGGTTAGGAAGGGAGCACAGGGCCCTTTATTCGAAGACAGTGCCCAGCTTCGGAAGGGGAAAGCAGGCTGGCAGCAGCTGAGAGCCGGCCCTCCCTCCCTGGTGTTCCCGCCTGGCATTCCCAGAGGAGCCTCGGGAACCATGATTGACACTGGTGTCAGCCTCCGTCAGCCTCGCTGAGCTCCTGTCTCCAGTCCCTGATAGCCGAGGTGCTCAGAATACTCAGGGTATGTGGTGTGAATGAATGTTGCAGAAGCAGGTTGTACAAGTCAGATGTCAGCTCAGGATCCGGGACACCCTCGTAAGCCTTCCAGGCACTGGAGTGGGCCGGCTTGGGAGGGGGAATTCTGGGTTTCCACCAGTATTCAACACCTGGGAAACTCCCATCAGGGAGCTGAAATGGTGGAGGGAACTCCCACCGTGGCCGGGAACCATATATTAAGTCATGTGATACAACTCTCCAAGGTATCGTTATGATCTCCGCTTTACAGATGAGGAAACTGAGGCACCGAAATGTTAAGTAATTGATCCAAGGTTACACAGCTTCTAAGAGGCACAGCCCTCATGCAAAGCAGGTAGTCTGATCTGGAGCCTGTGTGCTGGGCCCGTGCTACACTAGAAACAAGTGCAGGAGGAGTGGTGGTCTATGGACTAAAAACCCCCTGATTTTGCTCCTTTATGCTCAGGGTGAGAGATGCGGGGCAAAAGGGATTTGCTAGTGTAATGGTCCCTCCCCAGAGAAGAGGCAGAGCCATCTCTGAGTGACGGAGGGGTCAGCCCAGTGGCCAGAGCAGGGTCCCGAGTCATGCCCCCATCATGCCAGCTCCTGTGTGCCACAGAGGTCAGCACCGGATTTCCACTTTGGCTCATGTTTCTGAATAAAAGGCCCCTGAGGGCTGAGGCCTCCGTCACATGGGGTGTGGGATCTTCCCGAGCCTGGCGCAGGCACCAGCTCTGGCCACCGGCCCAGCTTTGAAACAGGAGCAACGGAAGTCTCCTGTAAGGGGTGGGAGGAGGGGAGGGTAGATGCCAGCCAAGCGCCGTGCCCTTGAGGGTTGTGGCTTTGGCCCAGGGCCTGCCCCAGGGGAGCTTATCCTCCACGGCTCCCGGGAGGCTGCCGCCCTGCTCGGAGACCCAGGGCACCGCCCAGGCAGGGCAGGAGGCAGGAAGGGCCCTGGGTCCAGTGTCTCCACGAGATTGAGTCAAAGCCGGCAGCACCCTCTCTGTGCCCGGAAAGCCAGGCTGGAGTCACCTTCAGGTGAGGATGCCAGGCTCTGTGGACACGTGTTTCTGGGCTGTTGGTTTTCCTTGGGGGCTTTACTTCTTTATATTGCTGAAAAGGTCTTTTTTGGACAAACTCCATCCTTCTATCAGCTCAAATAAAGAATTTATTGGGACTTCCCCAGCGGTCCAGTGGTTAAGACTCTGCCTTCCAATGCAGGAGGCGTGGGTTCGAGCCCTGGTCGGGGAACTAAGATCCCACATGCTGTGGGGTGTGGCCAAAAGCCTAAAAAAAAATTTTTTTTTTAAGAATTTATCCACACCTTAGATCAGGATCTAATTCCATTCAGAAAACTTGCTCTAAGCTCCTCTGTGTGCAGCGTCCTAGGAGGGCCCACCCACCCCTGAATGGATATGGGTCTTGCCTTCTAGAATTTGGTCACCCGGAAGGCTGGAGGGGCCTGAGCTCCAGGACACAGCTGAGGGCTCAGGGTGGATGCTGAGCCCTCCTGGCAAGTGGCATCCACTGCCCCGGCTCCTCTGGGTGGCCCATGAGCCACCTGCCCATCTTTCTGCTAACTTTAGTTTTTTCGTTACTGGAACCCCAGGCTTTTTTTCCCATGTCCCTCATCTCTTTCCAAAGCGGTTCCCGAGAGCATCCCCAGCCTGACACTCATGATTTCTAGCCTTTGGAGCCTCCCCAGGCTGTCTGTCACTGTCTCCACAGCCACAGACTGGCAGGACTTTGCCCTTTCCTCTCCCCCATTACTCCCACCTCCTTGCATAAGTCAGTTCAGATCAGCACACGAGATTGTGCCAGGCACTGTGCTGGGCACTGGAGACCCAGAGCTGATGCAATCCCAGGAGCTCCCAGGTCTGGGGGAAACACCCATAAAATGCTTAGTAGATGGAAAATGCCACTAAAGCCCTTTCAGGAAGAGAAGACTGGAAATCAGTGGAGGCTTCTCAAAGGAGGTGGCATTTGCACAGGGTTTGACAGAGGAAGATGCAAAAGAGGATCCTCCATAGTAAGAAGGGTGGGAAACGCTGGGTGTAGCAGAGACACTGAGACAGTAAGGCCAGAAAGATAAGCCGAGGTCTTGATGCGAGACGGGGAAGGCCCTAAAGGCCAGGGATTTTGCCTTGCTTCAGCAGGCAATGCAGGGCCATTGCGAGTCTTTGAGCAGAACTGACTTCCAAGGGCCACGGCAGCCGAGTGGCTCCCTGGCTGGTTCAGGATTATGCAGAAGACAGACCTCTCCCCTTCCACCGTGGCCACCTGCCCATCATACCCTGGACCCCTGGTTCCATCAGCTTCTTCCACTACCCAAACGTTGACGTCACCCCCGCCCTCCCCAAAATGCCTCTTTCTCGTTTGGGAAACTGGAGAGGGAGGGAGAGGGTGCAGATAGGAGGCCTGAGGCCTGGGTGGGGCTGGGCAGGGCTCACGCCCACTCCCATCCCCCACTCTCTGCAGTTCATTCTCATCTTCACGGTGATCCAGTACCAGCCAATTACCTACAACCACTACCAGTATCCAGGCTGGGCTGTGGCCATCGGCTTCCTCATGGCTCTGTCCTCTGTCATTTGCATTCCACTCTACGCCCTGTACCAGCTCTGCCGCACAGATGGGGATACCCTTCTCCAGGTGAGGGGTGGGGGTAGGGGGCAGCCAGGTGAAACAGGAGGGGGTGGATGTATGGGGCTTCAGGGCTCCCTTCTGATGACCGTGCCCACTCCGCCCTCAACCATGCCTACCTCTCCTGCAGCGTCTGAAAAATGCAACCAAGCCAAGCAGAGACTGGGGGCCCGCCCTCCTGGAGCACCGAACGGGGCGCTATGCCCGCACCATTCCACCCTCTCCTGAAGATGGGCTTGAGGTCCAGCCGCTGCACCCAGACAAGGCCCAGATCCCCACGGTGGGCAGTAACGGCTCCAGCCGTCTGCAGGACTCCCGGATATGAGCACAACTGCCGGGGGAGTGCCCCACCCCCGCCCCGTGCTCCCGCCACAGAGACTGGGGAGGCGGTGGACAGGTGTCACCGCCTGCTCCTCCACGCCCGGACCAGGGCGGCTCCTGTCACCTTGGCCACCACTGCTAGCGTGGTCATTCGTGCTCGTGTCCCTAGTGTTTACAGGTCCTTTGGATGCCAAGATGGCAGCTGGGGGGCGTGAGTGATGGGAGGGTTGCTGGGGGGCCCAAAGCACTTTGGAAGGGTCTCAGGCCAGGTCCCCGGAGGCAGCTGGACTTTATGTGGGCTCTGATGCCCCCACACGTTGCCCTGAACTAAGGTTCTGGGTGGGCCCCCTACCTGTCCCCCTCCCCGAGCCTTCAGCCTCCTGACCAGTGTTCCTGCCCCCAGAGCAGACCCCAGCCTCTGCCCAGGCAGATTTGGATCTTCCTACCTGGAGGCAGGGTAAGGGGCTAGGGGGCTGTGCAGTGTTACATGTCAGGCTGTAACCCCAGCCCTGTTTGTCTGTGTAATTATTTTTGTAAAAATTGTATTATCTGTGGTTGCCACCCCCTTGCCCTTGGCCTCGGGCCCAATCTGTCTTCCAGGCCTGCCTGCACCTCACTCAGCTGCTCCGGGGTCTCTGCGCCGCCTCCCAGCACTGGCTGTAGGGCCAGCCAGCAGAGGCCCATGACCCAACAGCCTGCCCAAAGAACTCGTTTCTGGGGAAAGGGGTGGGGTGATGTTCAGC